TCAGTTCTGGATTTGTTATTCAAGACATGTCTGGATTGATCAAGTTCAAACTTCACACACATATGTACATCTTGTCACAAATAGATATGTGCATTTGTTTCATGATCCGCTTAACAATAGCTGAATGATGGCCATTTTAAGGCCGAAAATGCATCAAAATCATGTATTTTCACAATTCCGGAACCGGATCTCAGTCTTGCATGGATGGATTTTGTTCAGATTTAGTACAATGTGTTGTACATATGCAGGTGCATTTCGGTCATGATCTGCTTTGAATGTATATGTCACTCAAATATGAACGGAACGGGGACGTGTCATTGACAATGACTTGTATTGTATGAAGGGAGAGGTGGTTGGGATGAAAGACGTAGATAAGTCTTTAGTAGGTTAATTATGTCATCGCACGCACGGCAATGTTTGCTATTTATATTTCTGTTTTGCTGAGTACATTGAGCAGAGTGCTTATCAATTAATCAAGCTAAAACTAAATATTGCAACAATGTTTCATTACCCAAGACTGAGCGGCGCTTTATATTACACTAAATATGCCCAAATCGCTATTCAAGTATTAAATCACTAGTGGACTCAAATTCTTGAACTGCAGAAACACTACACAGATTACACATTCGAGTAAAAGTAAGAAATTGTTTGCCAGAAACATGTAATAATAAATGTACATAAGACTAGTTTTATCGAACATCAAGGAAATTATCATTTCTCACTTTTCAAGATTTGTTCGCATCTTGTCTTTTAATATTTGGCCAGAAGCTAATAAGTACATTCGTACATTACGGCACGTATATTTAGTCTGTATGCAAGAGTAAACTTTGATGGCATAGTCCTTTCAGTGTGGTGTTAATAAGTTAGCTTGTACACGTAGGTTGGGTGTACACTTGCAACAGTTTGTGGAAAGGAGTGCAATCCATCTGATCTGCGATTTGCAAAATATATTGACTTCAGCAAACTCAACAGTTTGCTTTCCCTGAATTGATAATGGAATAGGGATTGTGAAATTGTGGCACCTCTTACTCTTGGAATACATTGTTGCAATATTTTGTTTTAGCTTGATTAATTGATAAGCTATACTGCTCCATGTGTAGCAATATTGTTAGCACAACAGCGATGTAAACTGCAAAATTGCCTAGCGTATTATTCTCGTTATAACAGTAATAAAGTGACATATTTGCTGATAGCCTTTTTTTCATTTTATATTCATTTGCAGACTATTTGCTGGAGTTCTTGCACGAACATTATGGATGAGTCTTGGTGCATGCATCTTTTTTGGAATATATGAAAAATCTAAAATTATATTATCGTAGCATTATCGGTGTAGTATTATTAGTATGCCTGTGATGATAAAGAACAAGGAGCTTATATTGTTGACACTTGTGGCTGCAATATCTTTTATATATAGTAGTTTTTATCTGAACTTTTTTAACCTAGGATATATCTTAAAAAAATCTCCAAATTAGTCAAAATTCACCACAATGTGACGTCACATACACTATCTCGAGGTTGTCTGAAATTGGGTTCAGATTGTTTGTTCATCCATCTGCCAATGCTTCCAATGTCATTTCTCAAACATGCTTGGACCGATTACATTCAAATACTGACCAGGTATGATTCATTACCATTGATCAAGTATGGTGACCATTTTAGTCAGAACAAATTTTAAAATTCTTATACTTGACTGCTCCTTGCAGATGAACATGGTGATTCTATTCAAACTTTGTGTCATGATCATGCATATGGAGTTACAGGTACATGTCATATTTTTTTCGAGATTCAAACAAAAATGCTCAGCCCGTTACAGTACATTGACAGTAACGACTGATCACATCACAGCTCTATTTAGTCAAATGTACACCCAGACTTCATGTGAAATAGTTACACTTGCGTAATGTACATTGATATAATGATTTGGGAGTACATTTATATAATGATTTGGGAGTACATTGATATAATGATTTGGGAGTACATTGATATAATGATTTGGGAGTACATTGATATAATGATTTGGGAGTACATTGATATAATGATTTGGGAGTACATTGGTACATTTATATAATACTTTGGAACTACATCACTATAATGTTTTGAGACTACATCAAAACATCAAATTGAACAACATCAATGTTTTGGGACTACATTGATATAACTCTTTTGGACTAAATATATAAATATGGGTTTTCATTCTTCAATCTACCAGGACAAGTTTCTCTTCTGATAAGCTATGAGTGAGAGGGCAATGTTTTTTTCTGTATAATGGTTAGACATAATATGAAAGTTATCTGCATTGCAATAATAAGACCTTATTGCTTTTGTTATTGTTTACATTGTCATTTGTCTGGGCGGATTGCTGCATTTTGGCAGAAAACGTGAGTATCATTACATGGTGGCCTCGATGTAGAGATGAATTTTTGTTGTTTCCAATATTTTGTTTTTCGCTGAAAAAGCTAGCTCACAAGATTTCCAAGCCATGCATGCATGCATTCATTCATTCAACAAATTTGTTCAGGTCACATTATATATATTGTTAACATTGAAGTATCGTTCAAATCAATCCTGTATTTTTTCCTGCCCGAGTTTAATGAGATAAATAAATTTCTTTGTGAGTATAAACTGCCCATTCTTTTCAATGTCATATCTGATATATTTGTGCTGTTCTGTATCTTAATTGAAACATGTTAATTTGGTGATGTCAATTTCTCTTGACAGTGCTTTGAAAATTTAGCTGTTATGTCCTGCACATTATCAATATAACACTTTGTCTATGTGACTCAGCTTCCAATGTAGATAGGTATGAGTATTTTCAATGTGATACATTCTTCTATGTATGTGTGAACGGCTAAGTGGTATGCATGCATTAGGGGATTTCTATTTTATTTTTTTACATGTTCGTGTACACATATTTGTGTCAGTGAATATCATGCTTGTTTCGTAAAAACATAACATTGCACCACTTAAGAATATTTTCAAAGCACCAGTGTCGGCTAACAATTTTTGCAACCTACTAATAAAAGTTGCAGCTACACACAATAAATATATGTAATATTTATAATTATTCGAAATTTACTCAGTGTGGTTATTGTTTCTTTAGTCTGTGACTGTCCATTGTGACCACACAATGCTACGATGCCTCAAGTCACATTATTGACTCCTCTGTGCGAAGAACACAATGACAGTCTTTTTAGTTAGTTTATCTGTGTGTGTGTGTGGGGGGGGGGGGTATGACTGTTATCTCAAGTACCATTTACCAGATTTCAATGAAACTTGGTACATAGGTGCTCTGGAATAAGCCATATACATATTTAGTTCAGGGTTAAATTATGTGCATACTGATTACCTAATTAACTTACATAAATTAACCAATTTATAAGTGTTCTACAGTTATTTTGAGTACCACTTGTCAAATTTCAATAAAAATTGGTACATAGATATTTTTGAATAATTCTCAGATCTGATTAATATACGATTTATATTAATTATCCACCTTGTTTACATGTGACCTCATTAATATACATAAGTGTAATATAGCACTGTTGCAGACAAGGACATGCAACTAATGCTACAAGAGATGCCTAACATATAAAATGACCATATGTAGTCATGTGACCTAATATTCATAACTAATGTATTAAGCAAGGCTGCAGATAATGACATGCAATTAGTGATATAATAAAGGCATTTGACAAGAGAAATAACTAACACATCACATGTCCATGTATGGTCATTTGACCTCATTAATATGCATAACTGTAATATCTCAGACAAAAGCAAGTCTGTGGTCAAAATAAGACATTTTAATGAGTTCCCATGCAATAAATACAATTTTTGGTTTACATGAATTAGAGATGTGCTTTTAATATAGTAAATGCAGTTAATATTTCTTCTTCATACCTTCAGCACCATTAGCACATTCATTTATAATAATGTCTTTCTAGGTTATATTATATTATACTATATTATATTGGTTGTATTTGACCACAGATCTGTCACCTGGTACAGATTGGTAACTTAGTGTTTTAATAGTTTTAAGCATGTCTTAATTAATTTTACAAATTACACAACGGATAACTAAGTTGAAATTGAACATAGAATATAACCATTAACACTTGATTATTTCGAAGAAGTGAGCTTCCGAAAAGATGTCATCTACGGACGGCTCTGTACAATATCACTGTATCTGAAAGAAGATTCAGTAGAATAAGATAATTTTGTTAAAATTAAAAAAAATGTGTGGGCTGTACAACAAGATGCACTGTATACTAGAAAATAATTATAATTGTTCAACATATTGTGTTTATTTGATTATCTTGATTAGCTCTCAGCTGACAATTATATTGCAAAGTAAAATTAAAAAAAAAACAGAATATTAGAACTATACTATTTGTTACAATGTCAAGGCATACAGGCCTATTTTTTGTTGGCGTAAAATTCCGACTAATTGTGAAAGCGCATAAAATGATAGCAATAGATTATTGTCTTGGTAATTATATATATATTTTTTTCTCGCATCCAATCATGACCTAAAGTTAAGGTCATGTGACTTTGAGTTTTGGATCGACCATTTAAAGGTATAATATCCTGCTAGGTTGAATATTTTATTTGTATGATTGAATCATGTCCCAGGGTAACCTCCTGTATGCCATTGGGGGTACTCGTAATGTAAGAGACTTTTGTCTAAAGTAGTAATTTCAGTGCAGGAAAAAGTTGCTGGCTAAACAGCTTCTAAAGTTTGTATAGTGACCTAACTGGGTTATTATATTCATAGCTAAGTTTAACCAAGTCTCTATAGAGCAAACCTAACTAAAAGTAACTCAAAGACTTACAATACCCAGAATATCGTGAGTTAACTCTACTCCGATTCCATGCACTGTTTTCGCATCACATGGTGGCGCAGTTGTACCCCGTTTTACCTATAAGCGTGAATAACACGAATCATTTTAATCAATAAAATACCAATAATCCATACATTTGAGTCGTGAGTGTTCTATTGTTAAACTAATTTGACGGTTATCATTGCCCTGTATTGCAGGAAAGATGTTGCCACGTTGGTGGCACATGTCAGAATGATATGATCGGCGATAGTTATTGCGCCCTCGCCAACAGATTCACATGGACAAAAACTACTACTAGACCATGCATGCCTATGGCATAATTATAATAATCGAGAATATACATTTTTCTGCAACGATCGTTTCTCCATTCTGTGTTACGCAACGCATGTTATGTGTGCATTCTTGACTAGCTTTACAGTCCTGTAAATCAGAAAAAAATATTCAGTGATCTTAGTTTCTTTCCATTTTCAAGAAATTCATTCAAACATAAGTGGAACCATAATCATAATAATGGATCTTTACATGCAAATATTTTTCTATAGTATAACGTCTCACACAAATAGTAATGTTACATTCTGTCGCACCCATGATGAAAGAAATATATGAGAAAATGAAATGTATATATTCCCGTTTTGCACATTTGTATAATTTTAATTTAGAAATTAACACACACCACTGAAAAGTAACTACTGTCTTCATATCCTCTGCATTTCAGCTCAATTCGTTATATTATGTATTCTTTCGATTTAATGTTACTATTATGAATGTGTATGCACGTGAAACTATTTTATTTTTTGGAGTATTAGTATTGTACCAAAGTATGTTACGTGCACTAACTCACAATTTTACACAATCGACGTCCACAGAAACGAGTATTAATTGACAGAATTAGTAATTAAGTATTTTAGTTTTAAAATATTTCGCATTCATGACATTTCGAGTTTATAGGATTGTCACATATGAACAAGATATAATACGCGCTGTGTCATGAATATCTCGACACAACGTACCGAGTAAGGTAGGCTCATTGTATTGTATGTCACCTAAGATTCGTTCCAGTTTGTACATGTTTTTATATTTTGCTTTTGAGTGTTTAAGTGTTTAACAACTGAAATATGACAATGTATATAAATTCATTCATGGTGTTGTCATGAATTTGTTTACGCGTATCTGTTGACCGACTTAATTAGTTGATTATTAGCGAATTAGCCTATTTGAAGTTTTGGACGGAACTTGGCTCAGTGATTTGGAACTAATTACGAGATAACCGTCGCTATTCTGACTACGATTTCTGACAGTTGGTATCCGTAGTTATTAATGTAGTGAACGATTAATCAAAAGATATGACGTATTCAGTACTTAGTTTGATTGGCTTTATGATTGAAGATTACGCCCTAGAATTTGTTTACTGTTTTGTAATTTTTTAAAGTTTTGAAAATGAATAAAGAGAGTTTGAGTTGGTCTTGGCGAGTACTCCAGAACAGACGCAGGGCAGTCCTGGAGAGACTTGGGGCGAGCCTTGACGCAGTCTCGGGCGAGTCTTGGGTCAGCCTTGCGATAGTCTTGGGATTTTTCCCCAGGGCGCTGTGTCTTATAGAGTGCTCGACTGATCGACTAAGACGAAAGTTGAAA